ATACTTAGTGTAAAAGTTACGGCTTTTTTATTTCAAAAAAATTATTTTATTGTTTCTATATTTAGGAACGGTGACTCATTCGATAATAAACTTAAAAATTAATATCGTAAAAACATATTATTAAATAACATTCTTAATTATTAATTTTATTATTATTGCGTGCGGCAAATAGTCTGAAAATCCTGATAGAATTAAAATTACTAAAAGCCAGTAAATGATGATTACTGTTTTTTTACTCAACACGACAGTACAGATCTTGAGTGCTTTTTTAATACAGATTAAAAAAATATATAAATAATATTTGAAAGTTCTCATCGTCATAAGGTTGTCAGTCCTAAGACTGGTTGGACACGCATCTCCACTCTTTCCTATCCTGAGCTAAACTTCACATTTCCCTAAAACGAGAACAGCCCACATCCTTAACTATTTGCGAACAGTAATCTAATCTAGGTCTACTTCTACCCCTCCTAACTCCCGCTTCTGCCTCTAATATGTCTCTGACTAGACCTTCATGCCTGAGAAGGTGTCCTATCAACCTATCGCGGCTATTTCTTATTGACTTCCATAAAATCCTCTGTTTTACTCTTTCTAACACCTCTTCATTCCCAACCTTCTCTATTCACGGTATCCTCATCATTCGCCTGTAACACCACATTTCGAACGTTTGTAACTTTTTCTTTTCCGTCGCGCCCATCGTCCATGTTTCGCACCCGTACAGCGCCGCGCTCCAAACATACACCTTTAACAATATTTTTCGAATTTCTAATTAACCGATCACGAGCATAGAAATGACTTCTTTTTATATTGCTTTATATCCCTACTACTCCTACCTTCCTGGCTTATCTCACTTCATAGATACCTAAAATCAGTCACTTTTTCTAAATTTTCGTCTCCTGTCTTTATATTTGAACGTTCTGTAAGTTGTAAAATAAAAAATTGGCCATGTTCCCTTTCGCAAAAATGAAATTTGTTCATTTAAATAATAATGTCGATTTTAAAATAAACGAGTTGTCAGTGTAATTAAAACGAGGAGTAATTAGTTAGAGCATTAATACTGTAGCTGATTGAAAACGACCATTGCTTGTTTCAATTATCATTTTCTCGTATTCGCCAGATGCGAAATGAGCCTGAGCGTTTTTAATGTTATTTACGAGAGGATTCAATGACATTGCTCCGCTTCGATCGTTTATGTAAACTGTTTTCTTCGAGCAATAATTATTCTTTTTACGGTCTGTTTATATGCCAGACCGTTGCACCGACTCCGATGAGGTGTTACTTGCAGTGCAATATAACTAGACAATACAATAACACAGCCAGTCCTACTTCGGATAGAGGTGCAGTCGCGTTAATTACTCTACGATATCTAATTCGCTTTAGTCATTAACTGGCGCGAGAAAATATTATTTCTTACTTTTCTTTCGAGCCGCAATTCAAGACTTTCATTTCGTACACGTGACATCGTTTAAGGTTTTTGCAACGAAAAGGTAAGTTTTTTAGTATCATTGTTAGTTCTGGGGAATTTATTGAACAGCAGCGCTAATGGAGTATTCCGAGTCTTGTATGATTAGATATGTCGCCCTTCTTGCTTGGTAGTGTAGAATTTTTTGACAATAAGACAATATACTGTCCAGTGTTCGAAGTAATTTACAATTCGTTGATCACCTATCAAACAAATGGAAATTTTCAAACAATTGTTTGAGTGTTTAATATAAATTTATTTTTCTAATTATTACAAATATAGGGTTGTTCGGAAAGTCATTTCGTTTTTTCTCGACAGAGGATTTAATTGTATTCTTTTGCACCCAACTTCACATTTAAGCCGTATAATTTTTATATGCTTTGAGAGCTCATATAGGAAGGCTTGTGTGTGAAAAATTCCAATTAATTCTACGCAGTAGTTTTTGGTTGGTGCCCTTTTAAATATGGAGAGCGATAAGCAGCATTTTCGACATATCTTACTGTTTTACTACAGAAAGGGTAAAAATGCTGTTCAAGCCAGAAAGAAATTGACTGATGTGTATGGAGAAGGTGTGTTGACAGTACGCCAGTGCCAGAACTGGTTCGCTAAATTTCGATCCGGCAATTTTGATGTCGAAGATGCACCACGTTCGGGAAGGCCGGTTGAAGCTGATAAAGACGCGATAAAGGCATTAGTTGATGTGAACCGGCGAATAACAACACGTGAGATCGGATTGAGGTTAAATTTATCAAATTCAACAGTTTATGACCACTTGAAAGGCCTGGGATTATCCTCGAAGCTCGATGTATGGGTTCCCCATGTTCTCACAGAGAGAAATCTGTGTCGCCGCATTGACGTCTGCGATTCGCTTCTCAAACGTCACGAAAATGATCCGTTTTTGAAGCGCATCATTACTGGGGACGAAAAATGGGTTGTATACAACAACGTCAAACGCAAGAGGTCATGGAGCAAAAAAGATGAACCGGCTCAAACCATTTCCAAAGCCGATATTCACCAAAAAAAGGTGATGCTGTCTGTTTGGTGGGATTTTAAAGGAATCGTTTTTTTTTTGAGCTTTTACCGGATAACACAACGATTAATTCGGAAGTCTACTGTCATCAGCTGGACAAACTGAATGATGCACTTCAACAGAAAAGGTCAGAACTAATCAACAGGAAAGGTGTAGTGTTTCACCAAGACAACGCGAGACCTCACACAAGTTTGGTCACTCGCCAAAAGCTTTTACAGCTTGAATGGGACACAATGCTACACCCACCATATTCTCCAGACCTGGCACCATCGGATTATTATTTGTTCCGGTCACTCCAAAATTTTTTAGACGGTAAAACCTTCACCTCAAATGAGGAGGTCAAAAACCTCCTCGATCAGTTTTTTGCCAGCAAAGACCAAAAATTTTATGAGCGTGAAATTGTGCTACTACCAGAAAGATGGCAAAAGGTGTTGGACCAGAACGGTCAATATATAATTTAATAAAGTATTTGTTTATTATACGAAAACTGTCTTTCATTTCCACAAAAAGAAAAAACGAAATGACTTTCCGAACAACCCTATAGTTCTGTCGTAAATGCACAGGTATTGTATTATTTAAACGATGCTATTAAATAATTTAATAAAAATAAAAAAATTAAATTAAATAGTATTAAATGGTTAAATTGTAATTAGTGTTACAATTTCGCAGGAAAATAATTTATAAGTAGAATGGAAACAGTAAATAACTTTTTTTTGTAGTGTACTCTGTTTAGTATGAAATGGTACAAATTGAAAATTCTTGACAGGCTGTTAGCGCGGCTGCAAACCAAAAGCGTGCGAGAACCCGAATAACCGACGAACAACTGAAAATTCTTCGCTCTCATTTCGACATAAACAATTCGCCATCCGAAGAACAAATCCAAGAAATGGCCATACAAAGTGGCCTGCCACCGAAGGTCATCAAACATTGGTTTCGAAATACGTTATTCAAAGAACGTCAACGTAACAAAGATAGTCCATACAATTTCAACAATCCACCCTCAACAACTTTGAATCTGGAAGAGTATGAGAAGACTGGGGAAGCCAAGGTTATGCCCCTCAATAGCTCTGGCAGTAGCACAGACGATGGTGGAAAACAGGACAACTTGCAACAGCCCACTCAAATAAAAATGGAAGTCAAAGAAGAACCGGCAGAAGATATTCATAAATACATGGATGAGAAACTTCATCACAGCAACGAATACGAAGATAAAACGCACATTTTTAATCTCCCTCCTCACAGTCAAAGCCCAATTTCATACGTCACTACCTCAGACCCACAAAATTACACACAAACGTCGAATTCCCAAAACAGTTTCAATTTGACATCTGTAATCGCATCACAATTTTCTGATGTAATAACCACCACGTCTGCCCCATTAAGTATTACTCCCAACACTAGTACATCTACAAGTCCAATGTTACCGCCTACGAAAATGAATCAGTCGAATTTCTCGACTCCTAATAGTTTTCAAAATATCCTTCCACTTTCCGGAAATCGCTGCCTCAGTCCAAACAGAGGGGATTATAATCCTGGCGGCAGTGTATGTAGTGCAGGAAGTTCCACGGGAAAAAGAGCGAATCGAACCCGATTCACCGATTACCAGATCAAAGTACTCCAGGAATTTTTCGAAAACAATGCTTATCCAAAAGACGACGACTTGGAGTATTTGTCGAAACTTTTAAATTTGAGTCCAAGAGTAATCGTCGTGTGGTTTCAAAATGCCCGTCAAAAGGCCAGAAAAGTATACGAAAATCAACCAGCGATTGAACCCTCTCCTGGCATAACAACAGACGAAGCTGGTGCAAACCGCTTTCAAAGAACACCAGGACTAAATTACCAGTGCAAAAAATGCCTTTTAGTGTTCCAAAGATATTACGAACTTATAAGACACCAGAAGACCCACTGTTTTAAGGAGGAAGACGCCAAAAGATCTGCTCAAGCTCAAGCGGCGGCTGCTCAAATTGCTGCAGTTTTGAGTTCCGAGGACTCAAACTCTAGCACAATTGTAGAACAGTCTCAACAACAACAACAACAACAGCAGCCGCAGCAGCAGCAACAACAACAGCAGCAGCAACAACCACCACCACCACCCCAGCAGCAGCAACACAACCAACAACAATCTTCTCTTCCAATGACATCACAATCCCAGAACAATCCTCACAGTCCAATGCAAACTACAAACATCCCTATTACTCCGAATAACTCTGGATCAAACTTTCCTACATCACCAACGTCAACACCACAGCCGCCTGATTGCAAAGAAGGCTCGTTTCAGTGCGACAAATGCAATTTAGTTTTTCCAAGATTCGACCTGTGGAGGGAACATCAAATCGTACATATTATGAATCCGAATCTGTTTCCCAGTTATCCTCCCGATTCGCCTTTCGGCATACTTCAACAACATGCGCAACTTCAGCAACTCAATGCGGCAAATATAAACGATTTGAACAATACGGCATCCGCTCTTCAACATCCCATTATGAACATGATCAACAGCGTGGTCGGACAAAAGAGGAAGTTTGATGAAGATTCCGAAAGCGACGTATCCGATCAACCTAAAGACAAGAGATTGAGGACGACAATTCTACCTGAACAACTCGATTACTTATATCAGAAATACCAAATCGAAAGCAATCCGTCGAGGAAAATGCTGGAAAACATCGCCAGAGAGGTCGGTTTGAAAAAACGTGTCGTGCAAGTGTGGTTTCAAAATACGCGGGCACGCGAACGCAAGGGCCAATTTCGCGCTCACGCGCAAGTAATAAACAAACGCTGCCCGTTTTGTCCGGCCCTGTTCAAAGTGAAATCTGCCCTAGAATCTCATTTGACCGCGAAACATTCTGATCAGTGCGCGCGCGGGGAAATAAACATTGACGCAATACCGGACGAGGAAGTCAGTTTAGAGTCGTCGCCGAACTTTAACCCGAACGTTGATACGAAGAGCCAGCAATCCCAAAATGCCGCCATCATGCCACAGTTGTTTCCGCCGCTTAATTCCGACATCGAAAATTCGATTAAGAAGTACTACGAGGAAAGCATGAAACGGTACATCAGCGAGCTTCAAGCACATGCCACAGCGTCCACCAATGGTGATCGGAGCGAAGTCAAAACGGGCAAAGAAGAAACAGGCGAAACACCGTTAGATCTTTCGAAACCGGTGGATCTATCCAGGCCCATGAAAGTCAACATGGATCACGAACGTAGCATGTGCGATCCAGGCCCATTAACCGATCTCAGTGAGCGGTCGTTGTGCGACGAAAGAAGCGACTCAATGTCGGAAACAACTGAATTTTTCGACGACGAAAGCAACCCCACGTCACCAGCCAGCAGTACTCAAAGCAACCAGCAGCAACGTCAACACCAAAACAATTCTGCTAGTAAAAGATTTCGAACACAAATGTCTTCGCTCCAGGTCAAAGTGATGAAGTCCTTGTTCTCCGACTACAAAACCCCAACCATGGCAGAGTGCGAAATGCTGGGTCGCGAAATCGGTCTCCCAAAACGCGTAGTACAAGTTTGGTTTCAAAACGCCCGCGCGAAAGAGAAAAAGAACAAGTTGGCATTGCAAAAGGTGCTCGGTGGTTCCGACGTGGACACGACCAAAACGCCGGAAGAATGCAGAGTATGTTCGTTTAAATATTCGCACAAATTTTCCATCCAAGACCACATCTTCACCAAAGGTCATATCGCGAACGTGCGTTTACACCTGGAGAACACGAGCAAAGACGGTTCCGGTAGCGATGGCGAGTTTACCGTGCCGCCGATTCCGGGAGTTTCCGGGAACGTTCCCGCCGATTCCACGACCAATGTCGCGCCATCGTCGCAAAACGTGAACAACAATTCGCATATGCAACTTCTTCAAATGGCCAGTATGCAAATGGCGGCTGCGTCGAAAGGGGAAAAGGACAGCCAAGAATCTCTGTTTCAACAGCTCTATTCCTTGGGGAGCAATAACTCCTACAGCATGCAAAACCAACTCCTGCAGACTTCCCTGTTCGGCACTAATGGTAAGTTTTGAGAGATTCTATTATTTGTAGGTGTATTAGTATCCGATTTACGCAATGTTATTTATTCATGGGAAATCATCTTAGCTCATGATTACGATTATGATACATTGCGTGCTTCGGATTATGTATGTGTTCCTGTAGATGAATTGCTTCTTTCCAATTTATGTGCATCAGTACATAGCTGAGTAACGTGGATATAGTTAAATAGCACGTGCTACCTGATGTAGATATCCGATTTGATTCATAATTATAGGTTCTGAAAGCTGCAAATCAAAAGGATTATAAAGTAACATTATGATAATGCTAAGTGCATGGTTTTGTCAATGAGTTTATGAACGTATAAAAAATTAAAAAATTAAGGTTTTTTTATAAATTATAATTGGAAATAAGGACTTTTGACTTAGAACTACATATCAAAGATACAGTTAGGATGAATTAAAATAAATATAATTAGATATTAACTGAATTTTTGGGAGATAAGCAAAACTACATGGGATTACTGTGTCCCGTGACTTTACTTGTGATTATTAAGCTTAATTCTGGACAAAGTTATTGATTAACAATTCGAAAGATGCTCAGTAGTGAAGTACAACTATTTTTATGTTGTAAACTGAGATGGTCGCGAACAGTGGTAGTGTCCCGAGATCGAACGGCGATAAGCCAGCGATACGATTCCACAGATGCTGGAACGCATTTGTTTTGCTCTTTTCTTGCAGACTGCAATAACGAAAAGAGGTAATACTGGTTTTACGCAAACAAAAAGGGATGTGACGAGTCTAGGCGTGGTTTTAAGATTCATTCCCGTACAATAAGACAGATAAGTACGCTGTTGTTACTATAGCTACCGGAATTCGCGAATCCATTGGCTAACGAGCTATAGACGCGGTTTGTGTACGATTAAAAATACACGGCTTTATGTAAGCACATACGTACATGTACATATGTAGCTACATAAATTATTTATTTGTCTCCAGGATAAGGATATATCGAATTACACCAGTATTCCGAATGTTTTTGTATTTTATGTTTGTTCCCGTTCTAACAGCTATTGAGAGCTGCTGGCTGGTGACCATTGAAATTTAATTAAAAAATTGCAAGATATGCGCACGCATTAACTTCAACAAGTAATATTTTTCGGTTAAATTGATATTAAAAAACATGCTCTTGAAAAATCCTCTACAAATACTGTATACAAAATAAACTAAATTATCACCATCATAAGGTCGTCAGTTTTAAGACTGGTTGGACACGCACCTCAACTTTTTCCTATCCTTAGCTAATCTGCGCATTTCCCTAAAACTAGAACAACCCACATCCTTAACTATTTGTGAACGGTAATCTAAAGTAGGTCTACCTCTACTCTTCTTAACTCCTTTGCTTCTAATAAGTCTTTAACTTACCCTTCATACCTCAGAAGGTATCCTACCTCGTCTATTTCTTATTGACTTCCATAGAGTCCTTTGTTCTCCTATTTTTTTTTTTAAGATCTTTCCATTTCTAATTTTCTCTATCCACGGTATCCTCATCATTCGCGTGTAACACCACATTTCGAACACTTTTAACCTTTTCTTTTCCGCTACTCCGTGGGTCAATGGTCAATCCAAACATACACCTTTAACAATCTTTTTCGGATTTTATGTTTTATATCTCTACTGCTCCTTTCATCCTGACTTATCTAACTTCTTAGATTATTTCTAATTTTTCTTCTCCTATCTTTATATTCGTTCTTCACCTACTTTTCTTCCCTTGCATACTAGTTTTTTTGTTTTACTTTTACTTATTCTCATACAATAATGAATAAACTAAATTCACCAAAAATTGCAAGTTACCATGATTCTTACCACTGTATTTATCCTCTCTTAACAAAGTTACATCCACGGGCATATTCAGCTTTTGGTCACTGTAAGTAAATTATTAAACACGTATCACTTAAAAGCCAAAATGTAAGTAACAAACCGAAAAATGCTAAACCTTGTTATATCTATAATACCTGTCTATTACAATAGTTCTTATCAGATCAAAAATATTGGTATTTTTGTGTACCAAGAGAGTACACGATATATTGTCCAAATGGAGTTATTCACAGAAGTTTCAAACGGCTATTAGAAAGGTTTTTTTTTTTTAAATTGTAAGCTGTTATGAGAGTTTGGTTATAACCGCCTCTTCCTATCGTAAAGTCATAAACTTAACCGTTATTAAGGGCTGGATCAGGACCATCTGCTTTTGTTGTACTGATTATGAAGGAACCGCGGTTTTCGCTGTTAAATACTAGACTTGATAGATTTTAAGAAGAATAAAAGTATTTGTGTTATTACATACCGAAATAGTAGTGTTTGGTACATGTTGCATGGTACGTGGTGCAATTACCTATTTTCATTAGTTCAGGGGGAGAAGACAGCATGACTATAAATAAATACCATTGAAATCATAGAGAAATAACAACATCATATACATATCAATGTGTAAGGATAATAATTTGTGCCATCACCTCTCAAAATCCTACTTTCTGGAATTAAGTAAGGTTAAGTTAGGTTATTATTATGTTATGCTGATAGGGATTAAATATAAATATTTGGTCGTTGTGGGGTCATACAAGAAAGGATGTAATACTTGATGTAGCTAAACAGTCGCCGACGGAATCAGCGGGTTATGTTTACGTAACCCAAATAATAAGTGCTATCAATTGTCGATAACGGTACCATCCGGACATGTCTTTGACAATTTTTTTTATAAAGCGGGTAAGGGTTTAAGAAATGGTACCTACGCTATTCGCTATGTGCAAAAGTGAGTGTGGCGCTGTCTGTGGCCAATTTTCAAACTTCTCAGTGAGAAAAATACGTTTAAGCTAAAAAATTAAATACATTTAAAATAAAATAGTTTTGTTGGAAAAATATCATAATATTTAAACTAGNATGTAAAAATACTCTGAATTTCGAATAATCGCTTACAAAATTACGATGTTTACTTAAGGCCTTAAATAAAGTATTTTTGCGTACTTTATGTGTTTTGTAAAATATAACGTATGCACAGTCGAAATAGAGTACAATACTTTATAATAAAGTACGGATGGCAACCCTAATCGTGGTCCCTTCAACTTAAACATACTTCGCCTAATAAAAAATCGAATATGAATATCAAATGAAAATGTTATGATTTTGTCTCGTCGGTCATTTAATAATTTTCCTGTGGAAGACAGTTTTGAATTAGGTTTGAAATATCTACATATACCTATAACAGAATATAAGCGATATAATTATGGGTCTCTCTACAAACCATAAATATGTTTTCTGTTAGCCACTTTTTATCCCTCACACTGTCTACCATGATATTATTGTTGCACCCTCCCTTCGGAAACAACATCGTCTTTTTAACATTTTTGAAATAAAAGATTCGTAGATGTCAGTTTCGTTTTTTTATTCAAAACCGTCTGCAACAGTAAGTACAAGTAGTAAACAATTTTTCCGTCATATCGGGAGAGTGAGACAATACGGTCCATTAGAAATAAAGTTATCCATGTTTCTCTTCTCTACACGTGTGCAATGTCGTCTGTGGCGCGGTTATATCTTGGCTTACCTACTTTAATAAAACAAAACACTGGTTTTGGGGGAAACTTAAATCGTACTCGGAAAAAGCGGGAAAAATATTTGAGAATCGAAACTTTTGATTGATACACACTTGTATGTTTGTACGGAGTCCTCGGTGCGCGAGTCCGATTTTTTGCATTTTCCTTTGGTTTCTCCCGATTCCACTTACGTCCATATGCACATCTACATACCAACATGTGTATATTTTGTGCTGTGCCGCGCTTAAAAAAAAGAGGTGCGGACGTAGAAAGGAATTAACGCCGTGGCTTTAACAAGCCCATTGTATTTAGCAATCGCTCTGAATCTTAAATTATTGTCGTTATAAATAATACGGAATAAATTTTAATTAACCATGCAAGGCTAAGCAGTATCTGCGAGGCAATTTATTAGTAGCATCGGCGAAATGAAGGTCACATTTGGAGGAGCTCTCTCTCTCGTTCATCCCATATTATATTCTTCCCCGTCACATACAGTATGTCACACCGATTTTTCTACAGGTGTCAATGAAGATAGAGAAATAATTACACGATAAATTTCATAGTGAGCTTATGAAACTTTAATCTTTATCAACAGTGTAAGGATCACGTTTGTGTAGATTGTGACTAAGAACTTATAAACGGGCGGATACAAAAATAATTTCAGGGGGGAGGGCAATGTTACAGCGAATGGTATTTCCAAATTATTTGTGCATTTTTGTTTTACAAGTTAAAAAAATACCAGTATGAAGTATGTTGCCACTAGATATTGTGCTTTATATATTGCCTCTAGTGTCCGACCGAAACTGGTTTTTACGACCGAAACCGAAACCGAGTTTCGGCAACGGTCTCAGTTTCGGCCGAAAGCGAAACCGAAACTTCCTTATAAGGATCATGTTTTGAGAGAAAAATAAAGAAAACGTTAGTATAATCAGTCAGTTTTATTTTTTTATCTTTAAATCACATAGCTCTGCAGTCTTTGACATTTTCACTTATTGATAATCAAATCAAAATCAACATAACAACCCCTCATTTAAGGAAATACTTTANATTACTAATACTGGTTAATATGCAATATTAATGTGAAAATTCATTTTCGATCTTCCATCCACTACAAACTTCCTCATGTTTTTCATCATTAACTTGAGGAAGTTTATAGTGGATAGAAAATCTAAAATGAATTTTCACATTACTATTTTAATCTATTTCATTCACATTTGCTTTGTTTTAACTCCCTAGGTACTAAATACTATTGTCAAAATGCCGTAACTGTCATGAGATTCATTTTCGTTTTCCGTTGTCTTTGCCGTGATGTTCTTATTCTTTTATCTTCACTCGTCTTTCGGTTGGATTTAAATTCGGCCGGTGCTGTTTGATATTTGCGGCCCCGTTGGAAAAAGACCATTAATTTTTGGAAAGGGCCTTGTCTTCGGCCCTGGTT